AAACCCCCCTCCCCCCGCAAAGAACTCATGTAAAGGTGAAGAGTGGAGATGCCCTCAAAACCCCCCTCCCCCCGCAAAGAACTCATGTAAAGGTGCCTTGGGAGAGCATTGGAAACCCACCTCACCAGAGATCTCATAGTGCTGACCAGAAAAGGAGTGACACTGTCTGTGGCCATACCACCCTCAACAGTTTCAGTCTCGTCTGATCTCGGAAGTTAAGCAGGGTCAGGCCTGGCTAGTACTTGGATGGGAAAAAAGGGGTGACACAGAGAACTTCTACAAGGGTCCCTTTCCTTCATTCCTGCTTCATACACCAAGGGGGTAGGAGAAGGAGAGAAGGAAGGGGTGACTGCCAAGAACCCCTCTTCCCCACCTCCTGAATTGAAAGAGGGGGGTTAGGCAGCAGCTGCCTCTCCTTCCCCACGTCAGGTATCTTGGACCACACAACCTGGTCTTGAAGTGGAAGTGGAGATTAGGGTTTTAACTGGGTTGGGGAATTTTTTATTTTCCAAAAACTAAAATGGTCTGGAAAGTTGGGATCACCCCCAAATTCTTGCTAAGAGAGGGAAAGTATTATTGGATATAGCACAACATGGCAATAGAAGAGAAAAATAAGGCCATTGTATTCTGACACAGTTAAGACTTGAGTAACCTGGTTTCAACTACTTCGTGGGTCCTGAATCAGAATCGGAGACAGGAGGGCTGAGATTTGATCCTACATCTTAGAGATAGCTGTCATTATATTCAGTAGAGGGGGACACAGAGCAACAAGAAGGGTAGATGATACATTTCATCATGACTGATTGCTTTTTCCAGCTCTCTAGCTGGTCTCTCACCTTTGCTGTCTTAAAACTTAAAACTTCACAGAAACTTGGGACTTGGTTTTTGCCTTTCCACTCTGCTTTCTCTCTACCCAAGAGAGAGCTTTTACACCCTCTTGGTTTTTTCAGCAGCATTTTTGAGAAGAAATTCACATTCCGTATAACATGTCCATTTAAAGCACCATGATTCCATGGTTATTAGGACATTCTGAGATGTACAAACATCATCACAGTCAATTTTAGAATACTTTCATCTCTCGGAAAAAAAAAAAATCCACCCTCTAGCTGAGGTCCTTCTATCATCTTTTCCTCACCACCCCCACCCTACCCAGCCCTAAGCAATCACTAGCTTACTTTCTACCTCCCTGGACTTCCCTAGTCTCACTGATTTTAAAGTATCTTTACAGAGACATTTTCATATATGTCTCCTACTCCATCCTCTCAGCTGGGTTCCAGGACCATATACCAACTGCCTGCTTCATTTCTCCACCTTGGGTTCTAGAAAAAACTTTTTACCTTAACATGTCAAAATATAGTTCTTAATGGTTCTCCTTCAAATCAGCTCCTCTTTAAGATTAATCCTACCATGGGCCCTCCATGGTGGCGCCCACCGATTAAAGCGTAGCACTACAGAGCTGGACAACAGCTGTTTCAACACGAGTTCAATCCCCAGCCAGGGAGCTGACCCACATGGCGCGGCAGACCTCTCCTGACCCACCACTGCTCCCCTCAGCAGTGTACTTCAGTTAGTTGGCCTGTTCTGCTCCCCACTCTGTCTCTGGTGACCCCTTTCACCTCCTACACTTCTGGCCTATACCCCAGTTCTGTATGCATAAATAAATAAATCTTTTAAAAAAGATACAAAATAAAAAGAAAAGATTTATCCTACTCAGTAAATGGTATCACCATCCACCTTGTTGATGAAATAGAAAACCATGGATCAACCTTGATTACTCACCTCAAAAAAGCAATCCCTTCTTCCCTCCCAAACTTACAGGGTAAGCAGGAAGTCTCAGCAGCATAGATTTGAGCTCTCTGATTTTTTTTCCATCCCAGGGCCCACATCCTACTCCAAAACACTGTCATTTCCACCCAGGAAGCCCACAAGCCTTTCTTCCCAGGGTTTTTACCCTTCTACAAGCCAGCCTGCACACAGCAACCACTAAAATCTTAAACAGAAGCCACAACACTGTCCATAAGTGCCCTAATCACATCCTTTCTGCTTAGAACAAAACTCAGACACCCTCTCCTGAACTTAAGTCTGCTGTTGGATTCTGTCCCTCACCTCCTCTCCCTTGCCCACACTCAGCATGGACCAGTCACATAGGCCTGCCTCGTTCATGTCCAGCTCCATGGGTGGTCCACGCTTCAGCAGGGCTAGAGAGACCTCTTCACACAGGGTTCTATGGGATGTCATCTGCTCTGGAGGTCCACTCCAACTCCCAGGACCTCAGCAGCTCCCCCAACCACTGCATTACTTTCTAGTTCATAACACTGCTTTTTTTTCTTTTCTTTTTTTTAAGATTTATTTATTTATTTATATAGAGCTGGGGTACAGGCCAGAGATGCGGAGGGTGAAAGGATTCACCAGAGACAGAGTGGGGAGCAGAACAGGCAGATCGACGAAGTACACTGCTGAGGGGGGCAGCGGGCGGGTCAGGAGAGGTCTGCCACGCCATGTGGATCTCCTCCGGGGCAGGAGGGGATAGAACTCATGTGGAAGTGGCTTTAGCTTCTCAGTGCTGCGCTTTAACCTGCTGTGCCACCAGGCAGGGCCTGACAAGAAATATTCTTAAGAAAATAAAGCAGGCCCTCCCTGGTAGCGCAGCGGGTTAAAGCGCAGCACTGAGAAGCTTAAGCCACTTCCGCATGAGTTCTATCCCTGCCCCAGTGACCCACATGGCTGGCAGATCTCTCAAGACCTGCCCACTGCTCCCCTCAGCAGTGTACTTTGCCTCTGCCTGTTCTGCTCCCCACTCTGTCTCTGGTGAATCCTCTCACTGCCCCTGTGCTTCTGGCCTGTACCCCAGTTCTGTATACATAAATAAATAAATCTTTTTTTTAAAAAAAAAAAAAGAATATATCTTGTCAACTGAAATGATCTGATGCTGTACTATTTACTGCCTGCCCTCTCCCGGGCACTCACCACTGATGATCACAGACTAGAACAGTGCCTGGCATGTCCTGGGGAGTCAGTGGCTAGATACTGACAGATGAGTGACGGAAAAAAAACACAGAGCCCTGGGCTGGAAATTTCTCTCTGCCACTCATTAGCTGTGTGATCTTGGACAAGATCAGAGCCACCTAATGTCTTATAGGTGTCATTGTTGTCACCTGTAAAATGTTGACAATAATGCTCATGAATATGTCCGAAACCCCCAGAGGGCACCTTGTCCACTAATGGATTATTAATCTTACAGCTCTTGGTAGCTGAGGTGAAGGGGGCACGTTCACTCCCCGTCCCCCACCCCAGTTCTCCCCTTACCCATCCCAGCCCCGGTGGGCCTGCTCACCTGGAGACACTTCCAGCTGGAAGCCCATTAAAGGGTAGAGGGTCCCGGAGCTATTGCGCATGCACCAGTACCGGCCAGAGTCCTGACGTCGGAGGGCCGCCATGGTGACGTAGACCACCCTGGCCTTGACGTCATCCTGCAGCAGGTAGCGCGGCCCCTGGGCCCCGACCCGGGTGAACCTAGGCTCGCATTTGTTCCTCCTGATTTTGCACCAAACCTTTCCCTCCACGTGGTTTTTGCGGCTTTTGTAGGAGCACTGTACAGACAGGGTCTCCCCTTCAAGGTGCTTCACTCTGGAGTACACGCTTTCAGCAGGTGCACCTGGGGAGACAGGACTTGCTGAGGAGGTCTGGCGCGGGCCAGGGAGAGGAGGCATCTTGAATGTCAAAGCTTGAGGTGAAGGGAGAGGAAATGGATACTGCCCTGTTGCCATAACACTTAGTTTGAGGGAGCTCTCCTCAGTATGTTAGGAGGATCACACTGGCCTACCTGGGCTGACTGGGGAGTCAGCCCTCCCTTCAGCTAGCCCTCAGGCTGTTGGAGAAGCCCTGGCCCCGCCTTCTGGGGGTTCCTCCCTGGGCAAGCCACTGTCCTGTGCCCCTGAGGATTCCGAGAAAGATTGGATAGCCCCTGGGAAATCACAATCTGATAACTGAGTCACAGGCGAAGTTCTCAGGGACCCCTCCCCCCAATCTGATGGAGTCAACTCCGAGCTCCCCAACAGACACAGCCCCTTGAGCCTTTCATCAGGCGTTTGCTAATTTGAGGGGAGACTGGTGAGCACCAGCTTCACGATATTGTAGGGGAAACCCAGGTCTTGCCCTCAGTGAGGAGGATGTGTCCAGGCAAACAGAAGTCATGAAGTAATAAAAGGGCAGAACAAAAACAACAGGTAGATAAGAAAATTCAGTATTTGAGAACATCAAGAGAAATTGTTTACTTCACAGATGGGTTCACTTCTAAAATCTTTTAAAAAGCAAATTGAGGCAGCTCTCCTGCCCACCTCAGACTATGCAGGTATCTCTCTTTTATTTTCTCCTTTTTCTAATAAACCTGTTCTTTTAAAATGCAAAAAAAAAAAGTTGAATTTTATAATATTCTAGGTACATAAAACCCATAGACGAAAAGCACACATAAACGCAGGGAATGTGCCAAGCAAAATATACAGCTACACGCTGTTCTTCTATAATAGGTTGTTGCTTTTCCTGCCCAGGAATGTGGGCACCATCTAACCTGGAGGGGAAACAATAGAGAGAGCCAAGAATAAGGTGGTGAGCAGTGGGGGGCATAGGAGGGGTGGGGGGGAGGGAGCTGCCATGAGGTCCCTCCCTTTGCCAGCCATAAAATCAGCACTTAATCCTTTAAGCCCCCTGAGCCCTTTGCAAACAAATGCACAAAAAACCTTCTCCCCGTTGGAGAGGGCAAGGTGGAAAGCATGCATTTTGGAGTCTGAATAAACAAGGAAGGGCCCGCAGGCCTGCCATTGCCTAAACACGTGAGTGACTCTCTTAGGGCTCTGTTTCTTTATCTGGTTCTTTGATTGTGAGAACCATGCATGGGTAGGGCTTGAAGGAAGCAGGTGTTCAGCTGGTGCTTCCTTTCCTCCAATGCAGGCTGCCCCAGACTTCTCCAGTGGCGCTCGATGGCCAAGACTCTGCCTCAGTTTCCAACCCAGCTCACTGTAGTTGAAACTCAGAGTAAGGCAACATTCCTCAGAGCACTACTCTTCCCATGCAAACTAAACATAATGATTCATCTCCATTATCAGCTGGCTGGGAGGTTTGGGGGACCCCAGGGTTGCCTGGTACAGAGATATTCTTCTGTCCTGACTGGAGAGGGCGCCTCGTGGCAGGAACCTGGGTGGTGTAACCTTGCCAAGGGTTCCCAGGGTGCTGTGTTCATTCGCGTCTGCCTTTCACCCTCTCACAAGCACAGGGGAGTGGGTTCTGCTAACCCGTCACACCATGCCCAGAACCAAACAGGAAGTGGTAATTTGGTTGCCATGGCAGTGAAAAAGGAAGAATTATGGGAGGCCCCCTCAAGGGGCATTGGCAACTGTAGGATGGGAGACGCCTTCAAGGATTGCTGCTCTCAGACAGGGCACACAAAAGGGGGTGAAGGCGCCAGAGTGCCGCAGAAAAGCGAGTTCAAAGGGAACACAAACAATGCAATGATTTCTGGAAGAAGCACACAGGGCTTTTCCTGGCAGAGACCAAGGGAAGACAGTCTGTGTGAGGAAATTGAGTGTCCACCCTGAGAGAGACTGGCAGATAAAGTGGCCCATGCAGAGAGGAGCCCGACTTCTCTCTTAGTCTGTGAGGCCTGGGATAGCTTTGTCTGAGGCCAGACCAGAGGAGCCTTCTCTGGTCGCCAGTAAGGAGCTACTAAACTAGCCCCAAACACCTCCTCTTCCATCCCAACAAACATTGCACAAACTCACTTGACAAGCCACAGGCCCTCCCCTCGTCTCCCGCCAGCCCCGCAGCCCGCTCACCTGATACACGGCCCTGGAGCCACAGCAGCAGAAGGAGGGGCAACGTGGGGGCCATGGCACCTCCAGCTGGACAGTCACAGGCCAGCAGGGGGCCCGGACACCCCGGGGAGCCACGGTTAGGGCCCCAGACCTTTGCAGCACCTACGTGCCACTTGGGGGCACACCCGGGGTTTAAAAGTGCAGCTGCCCATTTAGGGAAGTGAGGAAGTTGTGGGACCCACTGTGACCAACAGCTGAGACCGCAGGGGCCCCCAGAGCCGAGCAGAGGGCGGTGCTGGCTGTTGTTTCCACCCTCTTCCTCGAAACTCAGGCAGGTGTGGCCGCCCCACCCAGTCCAGGGGGGCCCCCAGCCCCGGGAGGGATGTCAGGCTCAGAAGGCTCCTCAGCCTCTCTGACTCCCTTCTGGAAGGTGGTTCCAAAGGAGGGCCTCTGTCTGTCTGACCCACCTAGAAAACTGTTGTGAGGCTTCCAGAACCGCAGGTACAGATGCTCCTGGAATCTTCTGGGCTCAGAGACTTGGGAAATGATGCTTTGGGGCCATGAGAGGCTGTGGGGGGTAGGCAGAAATCTTTGTTCTCATGTACCTTGCCAAGGAGATGCTTGTTAGCTCAGTCACATACTCATTCGTGTATTCCTCACAGCACATGTTCGTTCTGGTGCCCTGTCTCTCCCTCTGAAAGATTCCTCACTGGTCCTATGTTTACACTTAACAAATACCCCTCATGTGCTCACATGCATCTTTTTTTTGTCACGGTTAGAGTAATGGGGGGGGGTGTCAGAGGAGGAGAAGATGCAAACTGTAAGACTCAGAGCATAAAGTTTAGTTCCGGAAGGGGCTCCTGGGCCATCACTCATGGGGGTGCACGCTCACACACTCACATGCACACACACACGCATGTGCACACTCACACGCACACACACGCGCGCGCACACTCACATGCACGCACACACGTGCATGCACACTCACACGCGCACACGCACACACTCACACGCGCACACGCACGCGCTCACACGCATGCACACGCACGCATGCACACACGCACTCACACGCATGCACACGCACGCACGCATGCACATACACACACGCATTCGTGTACACACACGCACACGCGCGCACACACTCCCACTCACACACTCACACGCACGCACGCACACGCACGCACGCACACTACCTTTCCCTTTTGCTACTCTCTGGTCCTGGCCCCCTCATCGCTCTCTGCCTTTCCTACTGTGGCGTCTACCTGGTCACCAGCCGCCTTGGACTCCTAGTCCCTCTTCCAGGCTTCCTAAAAGACTGCAATACTTCCCTTCCCCCACCTCTTCCAGAAGCCACACCCCCAGCCCCTTCTACCCTAACCTGGCCCCCAGCCAGCACACAGCTCACTCCACTTCCGCTCCCTCAACCCTATCTCTGCTATACAGCCGCCCTGTTCCAGCTGAAATGACCCAGCACTTAGCCTTCCACCCCACCCTTCACTCAGTCCCCAGAACTAAAAGAATAGACTTCTGATGGCTTAGGAGCTGTGTCATGCTCTCCTTTGGGGTCTTGGGGCCCAGGTGGACCTCCATAACTGTGTGTGCTTCTCCCCCTCACCTGGGACAATTTCTTTTCCTTAAATGACACTTAGATGAATAAAACTTCCTCAAGTTTGCATGGGCACAAGTCTAAAACTGAGGAGGAACGCCCAGATCTCAATTCAAGAACATTTTATCTTGGCTGACTCCAAACTTGGAGTCTCAGTTTACTCATTTGTTCACTGATTCGCTTGCTCATTCTTAGTCCTTCATGCTGTACCTTGTGCTGTGCCCTGCGATCAGGGACATGAGCTGCCATCGTAACTTCAGCCCTCTCAGAGCTTATTAAAATCTTCAAAAATGTGTATGCATTAGACATTTTGTTGAGACTTAATTGTGGGCTTCCTGTGTGTAACATAATGATCATACACAGAGTATACCCTGAAAGCATATTAGGTTTTCTTTATTCACCCTTCTGTGTTCAGTGCATGTTTGCTGTCCTCATTCAGGTCCTTGAGATCAGAAACCATCTTCCCTCTGAACAAACGTAGTGTCTTTCTTCTTTCCTTTCCTCCATCAGAACAGTATATAGCTTCAAGATTGGGGCTGAGAGAGGGTCTGTTATTTGCTGTGGGGGCTTTGTGTGCTTGGAATCAACATTTCTATTGGGAACCCCCCACAATGGTGTGTTCCTTACCATGTAAAGCTTTTTGAAATTTGTGATCACTGTTGAAGCTGTGCCAATGTGGCTGAAAGAACCCACACACCTTCATTCCACTGGAAACAGATGCTAGATTCAGAGTTTCTGGAGGGAAATTTGGAAGGTTTATTAAAATCTATAAATACGTGTATGCATTAGACATATCATGGAGATGTAATCGAGGGCTTCCTGTGTGTAACCTAATGAGTCAATACTTGTATACTCTTAATTTTTATGTATGAAATACTTTAACACAACATTATTTTTTTTATTTCTTTGTACCCATTTATCCATTCAGAAAACTAAGGTCTACTTGACATAGAATGAGATTCACCCTTGCAATAACAAGTTCTGGGAGTCTGACAAACCCATATAGATTGGTAAGCCCCATCATAATCAAGATACAGGGCCCTCCCTGGTGGCACAATGTGTTAAAGCATAGCACTGTGAAGCTAGCTGCAGCTGCTTCAGCATGAGTTCGATCGTCAGCCAGGGAGCAGAACCATTGGTGCAGCAGACCTCCTGCCCACTGCTCCCCTCAGCAGTGTACTTCGTCAATCCTGCACCTCGATCCCCCAGTTCTGTGTGCATAAATAAATCTTAAAAAATTATATAGAAGCCTGCCCTAGAAGTTTCCTGAGATCCCTTAATAGTGCCCCCATTTTCTATCCCCAGGTCCAAGCAACACTAATCTGGTTTTCCACCCCCTCTAGTTTTGCCTCTTCCAGAAGTAATGGAATAGTACATGTAGCACATAGAGTTGACTCAGTGCATTTGAGATGTTATCAGTTGGTCATATGAAGAGCTCCTTTTTGTTGCTCAGTAAGCCCCCACTGTGTGGATGTACCATAACTTCCTTAGCCCTATCTATCCTAAGTGAGGCACACTCAGTTTGGTTTCCAATTTGGGGTTATTCCAAATAAAAATTACTGCAAGTATTTGTATACAGGTTTTTGTGTGACCACAGACTTATTGGATAAGTAACCTAGGGAAGAATTGCTGGGTTCTTTTGTAAGATTATCTCTCATCTTAAAGACACTGGCAAGGTGTCTTCCAAAGTACTGCACAGGTTGTATCTCTACCAGCAATGCTGCAGCTGCTTCCTTTTTCTGGTGGCCTTTCGATGTTGTCAGGGGTTAGGCCTTTCATGTTGTCATGATGTTCATTGTGGTTTATTCTGTATTTCTCTAATGACTTAGAGTGGTACCAAGCTTATTTTATTGTGCATATTTCCCATCAATATACCTTCTTGAAAAATCAATATATATCTCGATCAATGATCTGTTCCTCATTCTTTGTTTTCTTATTATTGACTTTTGGAAATGCTTTATATAGTCTGAAATATTGATAAGTCCTCTATCAACTATGGGCTTTACAAATAACTTTCCTAGTCTGTGGTTTGCCTTCTTCTTTACCTGACAGCATCTTTCAAGAAAACAAGTTTTAAATTTTGGAATCCAATATGTCATATTTTATGGATCATGTTTTTTGTATCGTATCAAAGAAATCTTTGCTTAACCCAAGGTCACAATGTTTTTAAAAACCTTACTCAGGTATAATTCACGCACTGCAAATTCAATCCATCTAAGAAACGATGTTGTAAACCAATATTAACTCGATAAAGATATTTTTAAATAAATGAAATTGATCCATTTATAGCATCTCCTTCAATGAGGTTAGTATATTTACTAAGTTGTAAGACCTTGGGCACAATCCAATTTCAGAACATTTTCATTACCCCACAACCAATGCTAATGTATTAACTTCCCATTACTGCAAATTTGGTGACTTAAAACAACAGAAACGTGCACTCTCACAGCTCAGGGAGCCAACTCTGATACAAGTATCACGAGCATCAGAAACTGGGAAAACAGTGGTCCCACCAGAGGCCCTAGGGAAGAAGCCATCTTCGCCTCTTCCCGTGGAGAATCGCACGCAGCTCGTCTCCAAGAAGGTCGGCGTGACCTGAACCCTGAGAACACTCGCGGGATAAGGAGGCTGCAAATGGCCTCCCAGGTTGTGTGACTGGAATCCGGAGGACATGCTGGCCCAGGAGACGATTCGGCATTGAAATCCAGCCAGGCACACCGGAAATATAAGTAGACATGCTAGCTAGAAGTAGTTGACTTAGTAAACACAGTAAATGGGAGGTCTGCACTCTATAAATCAGACCATCGGTGCTCAGTGGGCGTGTGAAGTACTAACTATTCCTGTAAGTAAGCTTCAGCATGTAGCTACCTCCAAAAATTGTATAAAGCATGAGAAAAATAAAGAACGGGACCGGTGGGTTGACTTCTCTGTCCGGTGGCCCAAGATTATTGGCAACACTGCCCTCCTCCAGGACGCAACATGTATTTCCCTTCTGGAGTGTGTATCTTTTTCCTGCTCATTTATGAGAAACTCTTATGATAAAAAACTTTAATTCCTTAACATAGATACTTTTTAAAAAAAACTCATTTCTGTGTGATTTTTATTTTCTTTATGGTGTTTCACGACTCAGACCAGTTTAATTTGATTTTGGCAAACCTTTTTGCTTTGTGGTCTGTTTCTCTCATATGCTAACATGTGCCTGCTTTCCTCACGATTGAATCAGTGTGTGGCAATTTGAATTTTTTTAATATATATTTTCTTACTAACATTTATCTCTTTAAGCCATTTGGAATTTGGGTAGGAACGTAAACAGAGGGTCAATTCATTTTTCAAATTGTTAAACATGGTTCATTTCATTTGTTAAATCCCTAGTGTGGGTAACTCTGTGATACCCTAAGTATGTCTACCCACTAGGACTGTTTCTGGCAAACTATCACCTCTCCTCACCTCTGGGGCAATCTTAGGCAGTGAAATCCATGGTCAGTCACTGATCTTCAGAAAAAAACAAGGGAATGCAAGATGACATCTTAAGGGAATTTGCATAATATTACGAAAAAATTGATGACAAGTCAAACAAAGCAATTAGAAACAAATTCAACGACCTAATATAGAGAGAGAAGAACTAGTGGGAGAAGAATTATTTAAAAGAAGTATAATATTCTTAGATAAATAAGGGTCTTTTTTTAAAAAAGATTTATTTTGGCCCTCCCTGGTGGCGCAGTGGGTTAAAGCACAGCACTGAGAAGCTAAAGCCACTTCCGCATGAGTTCGATCCCTGCCTGCCCCGGAGGTGACCACATGGCGTGGCAGACCTCTCCTGACCCGCCCGCTGCTCCCCTCAGCAGTGCACTTCGTTAGGAGAGGATTACTGAGCCATGTGGGCCAGCTCCCTGGCTAGGGACTGAACTCAGGTGGCAGTGGCTGGTAAGACTTTAACCCTCATGCCACCAGGGAGGTCCCTGCTAAGGGCCAATTTAAGAAGCATGAAACTGAACAAGGTAGTAATAAAAAAGAATAAATTAAAGATCTTGTTCACAAAAATAATTGTTGAAGTAAGAATCTCAGCGAGTGGAAGAAATAGAAAAAATAAAAAGAAATTGGTGAGTGAGAAACACAAAGTCAGGGAATATTTCCAGAAGGTATGAGGAAGGAATCGTGTAATAGACAGTAAGAGGTACAGAGGACAGAATAAAAATTCAACATCTAGAAGTTTCGAAAGGAGGGGGGAAAGTAAATGGAAAGGGGAAACTATTTGGAAAAGTGTTAATTTAAATATATAAGATAATTTAAACAAGTAAGACACATGAGTGAATGTGCTCAAATAATTAAAATAGATTGGGTAATTAAAGACTTTATATCAAAACATGTGGTGATAAAAATGTCAAAGAGAAAATTCCAAAACACTACAGAGAGATTAAAACAGTTAAAATGACCAAAACAAAATGGCATCAGATTTTCCACTGGATATAAGAGGATGATGTAATAATATTTTCATTTTTGAAGAAAAAGAATTCTTTTATATATTAAAGGATAGAATTAATCACAAATTTGAAAACATAGTGAAAGGAATTAAATAATTTTACCTGATAATGTCAAAATATTATAAAGCTGTGTGACATGATGGAAATGTTAGCAAACACTATATATACACACACTGTATATATATATATATATATATATATATATACATATGAGTATATATATATATATAGTGTATCAAATAAACACAGCATACACCTTAAACTTATTTTTCAAGAAAGTTGGAAAATAGTATTGCTTAAAGTTAACTTTTAGTATCTGAAGTAATGAAGATTTTCTTTTGTCCAGTCTAGTTTTGTCCTACTGTTATGGCTTTAAATGAATCTCAATATTTCTGTATTTTATAAGTGAAATGAGTTATACAGTCCATTACAGTTGTGCAAGTTCAATAAATCAAAAAAAGATTGGGTCTAGCTACTTGCAACTGAAAAACAAATGTCTATGCCTCAACGCACAAGTGTTTGTATTAGTTTTACATGAATTACATGGGTGTATGCATCATTTTGTTATGAAATCCAAGCATAATCAAAATTTTAGAGAATAATATGTAGAACAATCATGGTCCATCCCAGCTTCATTTATTCTCAGCTCCCTCTTTTATTTTTTTCCAAACCTTTCCGATAGGTGGCGCTGTATGCTCGGTTTAGATACAAAAGAGGAAGCACATCGTGGCCAGTTGTCTCCATTAACCGGTCAGGCGGCACAAGGTGACTGCATTAGTCAGATGTCTGCGATCCTACCACCCAGCAAATTCCAAAGTCCTAAAGGAAGTCTCACAAGAGCGCGTGGAGGAGATTCATGCAGACTTGCCTGTGATGGGGGTGAGGAGGCACAACAGGGCGCCCTGGGTTCTGAAGAAAGCATGAGGGATGGAAATATGAAATATGCAGCGGTCCTGAAATACTCTGGGGTGGCGGGTTGGGTGCACCCAGCAACAGTTAGACAAACATGTGAGAAAAGTATACCACAATTTCTTTTATGTAAGTTAAAAATACAGTCATAGAAAATATTACCGTGTGTTTCATAAGGGTACATCAAAGTCAAGACTACACATTTCACACCTCAGCGTTGTCGTTTTGGATGAGGACACACGTGAGAATGAGGGATTAGGACTGTGAAATGGATGTACAGGATGACAAACTGACTCCATCTTGTGCCCAAGACTTCATCTTACTGAACTTTTGAGTTTAAAAAAAAAATAAAAAAGGAAACTGTGATTTATAGTATATGCTTGGCCATTCAAATGACCAAAATATGTATTTTTTAAAGATTTATTTATTTATGCATAGGAAAATGGAGGTGTTAGGCCAGAAGTACAGAGAGTGAGAGGATTCACCAGAGACAGAGTGGGGAGCAGAACAGGCAGATGGACTGAAATACACTGCTGAGGGAAGCAGCAGGTGGGTCAGGAGAGGTCTGCTGTGCCATGTGGGTCACTCCCTGGCCAGGGGTCAAACTCGTGCAAAGCGGCTGTGGGTAGCTTCACAGTGTTGCACCACCAGGGAGGCCCCCAAAATAGGTATTTTGTTGGAATTTATATGGTTTTAAAACTTGGTCTTTCTCTGGTCTTCAAACAGGGTTGGGAAGTTTTAAACAGGTAAGAGGAGCTGAAGAGTTACCCTGGGAGCAGCCAAGAAACCTGGGCAGATAAGGGGACTCAAAGATTGCCTTTGAAACAGGGCAGTAAAGCCCACCTGTGGCCATTTAAGGCAGGGGACAGTTCTAAAGGATGCAGAGATCATCAGGCCTGACAGCTAGTTGACAGCAGATAGCACAGACTGGACCCTAAATCTTAGGAAGCCGTCAAGTTCAGAGTATAAGTACTTCAAACTTCCTCCCAGTGGTGGGCAAAAATTCTCATCCCTTGCAGCCTTTTGCAGGGAAATTCAATAAATCTGCCTTTTCTACTTTCCATACTGTGTCTCTGGTGGTCTTTCACCCTGGCAAACCCCTCTCCCCCTATTTTCTTCACACAGCACACACAGTATATCTCCCCCATAGTTATCTGGTCTTTTTCCATAGAGTCTGGCTCACAGCTCCTAGAAGCCCTGGCACTTCCTAACTGAGAGTAATAAAAATCTCTTTTTATGTCTATGGGGTGCCATGGGAAGAACCTAAGGGTGAGAGTGGGATGTCAGAGTCAGCCAGCTTGGGATTAGAGGACAGGCAATTGTAATCCCTTCACCCTGACTTCCCCAGACCTCTTGGGAGAGAAGGCAGGTCAGAGGCTGACTCAACTAACTGCCAGTGGCCACAGATTTAACCAATTATGCCTAGATAATGAAGCCTGCATTTAAGAAAGCAAAAAGGGGCCTTCCTGGGTGCAGCAGATTAAAGAACATGGGAACATCTAGAGAACAGAATGCCTGAAGAGGGCATGAAAGGGCAACAGGTGGCGCAACAGGTTAGGATGCAGCACTGCAAGCCAGCTGCAGCCACTTCAGTGCAAGTTTGATCCCCAGTCATGGAGCTGACCCACATGCCGTAGCAGACCTCTCCTGTCTCGCCTGCTGCTCCCCTCAGCAGTGGACTTCATGGACCTGCCTGTTCTGCTCCTCACTTTGTCTCTGGTGAATCTTCTCACCACCCCTGTACCTATGGCCTGTACCCCAATTCTATATGCATAAATAAATAAATAAATAAATAAATAAAAAAGAGGACATGGAAGCTCAGTGTCTTTCCCCCATGCCTAACCCAGTGTGTCTCTTCCGTCTGGCTGTTGATTTGCATCCTTTAGTGTCCTTGGTAATAAATCAGTGATCAAGTGAATAAACAGTTTCCTGAGCTGAATTAATTGAACACGAGGTGGGTGTAGGCCAAGAAACTGAAGCCTGACTGAGTTACACAGCTACAGGACTACAGGTTGGACACACCTGAGCTGTGTGCCCCATTCTCCTGGAAGGGGCATGCTTCTGTCACAAAGGGACAGCTAGGTTACACTCATGCTTGCTCTGTGCAAATGAGGCTTTCAGTCAGTGCACTTCTGATGGGTACAAAGTTTGTTAAGTGGTGACTGGTCACATTTTAATCCTAGGTGGCGTCTGGCACACCTGTGTGATCTCTTCCTCCTTCTCTGGTGGGCATGTCTGCCTGCCCACGCGCTTGTCGGGATGTGCCTAGGGTACAACACTCAACGCCTCCTGACTCTATTTTAGGTACTCAGACTCCAGATGGCTCCATTTTGTTTTTCTTTTTTGATATTATATATCACCAGCACACCCATGATTTATAACCTTTCAGTCAGAGCACAGAAAATACTATGGGCTTTACACGGTCCCCTAATACCAGGAGGTGATCACCAGGGGGATGTTCAGTCTGTGCCTGGTTGGTCAGGAGCTCAGGTGGCAGCCTGGGCATTGGCACTCAGAGTAATTCCATCTCCCAACCCAAAGGCGAGGGACTATGGGGCACAAGTTTCCTCTTGTCCATTGCTTATCAAGTAATAAAGGTGCTGCTGTGCTTTACCCGCCGTGGTTATTGTATTAATTCATTAGCAATCATCAGACCGCAGAGTCTCCAGTTGGTGACAAACTTATTTGTGGAAGAAGCATTTTGGACTAATTGTCCTCTGCTCAAAGGGCTGCTGAACCCTTTGCTCTTGCTTTTTTTTTTTTTTTAAGAGTTATTTTATTTGTGCTTACAGAACTGGGGTACAGGCCAGAGGTGCAGAGGCAGTGAGAGGATTCACCAGAGACAGAGTTGGGAGCAGAACAGGCAGATCAACAAAGTACACTGCTGAGGGCAGCAGCCAGCAGGTCAGGAGAGGTCTGCCACGCCATGTGGTCACCTCCGGGGCAGGCGGGGATCGAACTCATGCGGAAGTGGCTTTAGCTTCTTAGTGCTGCGCTTTAACCTGCTGCGCCACCAGGGAGGGCCCTGCTCTTGCTGTTTTAATTGTATCTGCTCTTTTATTATTAATCTTCTAGAAATAAATTTCTGCAGAATACAGCCTTCATTTATTTTTAAATTTATAGAAAAGTCATTTTTATTTTATTTCAAGACACCTGGGGTAGAAGGAGAGAATGCCATGGGATTCATGCGCCATCTCCCTCTGTTTCCCCCAAGAGAGTTCAGTCCAATGGCTTGAATTTTAAGAAGAGAGGAAATGCATTGCTAGGATCCTCAGGTAGTACAGAGGCAAAGTGAGAAATCACAGCGCCAGTTTGGGGATTTGGTGAGAAAATGGGAGTGTCCAGAGAGAGAGAAGGGAAGGACGTAGAGAAGGACGAGGTGCTGAGCTGGGCTTTTGCCCATGTGTGAGGTGCTAACCAGACACAGCAAAACCTTCCACGGGTGGACATCTCGGGGCAGGGCAGGAAGGGGGTTCAGGGGGTGGTCAGACCCAGAGGGTGGGTCTGAGATGCAGGATCGTCACAGGTGAGCTCAGGAGCTGGAGTTGCTGCGGGCGCGGGCTGCCATGCTCAGCGCTTAGAGGTGGCTCCCAGTAGCTGGACAGAGGAAGAGGAAGAAGAATGTGTCACGCAAGATGACAGGATGAGGCTAAACGCACCTGAGAGTTCTGGCATCTGGGCTGGACAGACACCAGCAGAAGCTGTCACTGCACCCACAGTGTCCTCTTGACCCTGAGGAGCAGGCTGAGGAGGACATCTCCAAATTGGAAGGAGCCTTTCCCTACCTTCTTTGCCAGCCCCTCGCTCCTGCTGTTCCTGCCACTGACCTCCCTCTCCTGCTCCTCTCTCACCTTCTTTCTTTCCCTTTCTGGCTGAGCCTTCCCTTCTCCCTCTGCAGACCGTCTCTCTGACTCTCAGGTTTCTCCTCCCATGCTCCTTACTCTCAGAATGGAGAATGAAGCTAAACCTGGTCTAGGAGCTGTCTTTTCTCTAAGGTGTATTTATATTGAGTGGGAGCAGGGACCATTGAAGTAAAATGCAAACATAGCAAGAAATAATGAATTTTGAAGTTAGACTGTCATAATTTTTCCCAACTGTGTGCTCTCTGGCTCCCTCTTCCTGGCCCTTTTCCTGGGAAAGAAGCAGCCTCCAACCCCAAGTCCCCCTCACCGGATTCCCTTTGAACCTTGCCACTCACCTGGAACCCCAGCCTAGAAGCACAGAGCCAGGACCTTGGCCACAAGGAGTCCACACAACATGGGCACCAGGGGTGTGGAGGCAGCCAACCCATGGGAGAGAAGGAAGCTGGAATTCCTGGAGAGGAGAGAGGAGGGGGGGTACAGGCCTGGGCTGAGATGTCAGCTGCTCCTGCAGACTCCTTGTTGGAGCTTGTATGGTTAAGGACCACCCTAAACCAGCCATGCAGGGCCAGTGGATTCAGGAATAGTGAACAGGGTCCACAGGGCCCCTCTGTGCCTTGAAGAAAGCCCCTAGTTGGGAAGCCAGGAGTCTTGAGAGGAAGAAAGTCTTGGCCATGGGGAGAGAGAAGGGCCAGAGCTCAGTAGGGCAGGAGGGCCAGGGCCTGAGGAGTAGGAACAAGCCCCACCATGTGACAGAGGGCGGGCCATCAGGTTGGCCCATCAGCAAGAGGCAACTTAGAAAAGCATGGCAGGTTTGCTGGAGGATGGGCATTTTCAAACAAATATTTGTTCAGGATTTATTTTAAAATATTTTCTTGCAGAGGTGTTTTCTTTTCCTTCAATTTGTTGCTTAGTTGTTGCTTAGTTGTATCTTCTATTGATCAGTCATGTTGAAACTGTCTTATTAGACTTTTCAAAGAATGAATGATGAATTTTCTTTATCAAAAATCACCATTACAGGCTCTCCCTGGTGGAGCAGCAGGTTAAAGCACAGCATTAAGAAGCTAAAAGCCACTTCTGTATGAGTTCGATCCCCACCCTGGGAAGGGACCACATGGCAAACAAGACCTCTCCTGACCCGCCCGCTGCTCCCCTCAGCAGTGTACTTTGTCGATCTGCCTGTTCTGCTCCCCACTCTGTCTCTGGTGAAGCCTCTCGCCACCCCTGAGCCTCTGGCCTGTACCCAAGTTCTGTATGCACAAATAAATAAATCTTTTTAAAAAAATCACCATTACAATTTTCTTCCTTTATATTCCTTGGACTTTTTATATTGCTCACCCTCTATCTTCTTAAACTGAGTGCTTAGCTCACTATATTTTTCAAAACTGTTGCTCCCAGAGGTTCCCTGAGTGTTTTTCCTTACCTAAGCCTGTTCCTTGTGTCTGTGTTGTAAAGCATGGGACTCTGGAGAGGAAAGGGGAGGGTGTGGGTAAGTGTTACCCTAAGAATGATAATCACTGTTTTTTTTGTTGAGGTCTGTGTTCTTGGGGAGGGCAAGGACTGGAAGAAGCTTACCTTGTGTCTTTGTTAATGGATTCTCATTTACACATACACACATATTATGCAATTGTGTTCTTTTATGGAGATATAATTCTTATTCTATTGTAGACAATATGAAAATCTTTAGAATTTTCTGTTTGTCTTTGATAGGTACATTTCATACATGGCTTTAAAGGCATATGCGTGCGTGTGTGTGTGTGTGTGTATGTTTTCTTGCAGTAAGTATGCATGTGTGTTTGTATTTTTGTGTGTATATTATATATGTGTGTACTTTTTATTTTCTTATAGATGTGAGATCTTTCCTTTTTCCAAAATTCTGAGATTTATAATACATTTCTTTTTCACTTTCACTCCCATAGGGATTCTTCGTAACCACATGTCAAGACATGTACTGCTTATGCAGTAAGCCATTCATCTCCATGAGTCACTCATGGTTTTTGTTGTGCCTTGTGATCGCCTACAGACCCATGACCTAGATTGCTGCAGTCTGTTTCCTCAACAAAGGGACCATCTGATGGTCTTAAGATCCATAACAGCAAGAGTCAAGAGCTGAAAAAGTTTTCTCTCACTTGTTTCTTGAGGAAGTCTTCAGCCAACATCAACCCAAGGCTATCCTCACCATCCATTTCTCAAGGTTCAGAGTAACCTTTACTCCCACATTGTTTGGGTTTAATTTGGTCTCATTCTAGAAACCCATGTTTAATGATTTTTTAGATAATTTCTCCAAATTTAATAGTCTATATCGTCCTCCCCATTTTATCTCCCTAACTCTGTACCTGAGCCTAGAGAAAGTTCTCTGCAGCATATCATACCCCAACTACCTTAAAAAAGCATGTCAGGTAGTCACACTTTAACAGTTTCACCATACAATTAAATATTACCTGCAAGACAATGAATTTTGTCTCAAAGGAAAAGAACTAAATGACAGACAGTTTGATTTCATTTCTCCACTCATTAATGGATCGCTCAGTTTAATATGTTCAACCTATCAGTTTGGGGTTTTTTTCCCCTCCACTGATGAAATAAGAAATCAACTTTCTAATGTTTCTAATACAGTGCAGTGGACTCTTGAACAACGCAAAGGTTAGGGTACTTGCAGGTGCTCTTCCCCACATAGTAGAAATGCTGAGTGCAGTTTATAGTTGATCTTCCATATCAGCATGTTTAACATCTACAAATTCAGCCAGCATACTAAGTCATTGAATATCAAACTTGCAGATAGAAAAAAACCATCCGAATGGACGATGCAATGCTAACCTGTGTTTTTCAAAGGTAAGCTTAATATGCAGTCTGGGAAGAATGAACACAAAGAATTGAACAAGGAAATAAAATAAACAGAACCACAAAATTGTGTATAAGATAGTATAGTAACAGACTTTCACTCTAAATGTAAATGTGCAGGGCTCATCAAAACACAGCATGTCTAGCTGGATTAGGAAACAGAATCCAACCTTCTGTTTCCAGTCAATTCTCCTAACTTCTAAAGATAAGCTTAGTCTTCAAGTAAAGGACTGGGAAAAAATTCTACGAGTGGGACCCAAAGGAAGGTAACCTCTGGCCTGTAGCCCATTTCTGTATGCATACATAAATAAAATCTTAAAAAAAAAAAAAGGCAAAAGCATATATTTTCAAGTACCCATGGGTTTTTGTTCAGGACTGACCATGTGTTGGGTCACAAGACAAGCATCAAAAAATTCATGAAGATTGAAATCATACCAACCATTTTCTCTGACTATAAAGGTACCAAATAAGAAATTAATCACAGAAAGAAAACAGGGAAATCCACTAATATGTACAGATTGAACAACACAATACTAAAAGACTACTAGAGCAACAAGGAAATCAAAGAAGATATTGAGATGAATTACAAAGAGAACACACGCTTCCAGAACTTATGGGACACAGCAAAAGTAGTGTTAAGGGGAAAGCAACACAGGCCCAAATAAACAAGAAAGACCCCAGATAAACAGTTTAGTCTCTCATATTAAGGAATTAGAAAAGGAAGAAAAATAAAAGAAGGAAGTAAATAATAAAAAGTAAAACAGAAATAAATGAGATAGAAATAAAAAAGACAGTCCAAAAATCAATGAAAACAAAATTTGGCTCTTTAAAATTAAACAAAATAGACAGTCTTCTAGCTAAGCTCACCAGAGAAAAAACTCAAATAAGGGTCAGATAAAAGGGGAGAAGTTCCATCGGATGTTACAGAAATCCAGAGGATGATAGAAGATTACTATGAACACATATATGCAAACAAGTTCAACAACATAGATGAGAGGGACAAATTTTTAGAATCATACAACTAGCCAAGACTTAATCGGGAAGAAACAGGAAAACTGAGAAACAACAATAACAACTACAAACAAGGAAATGGAAACAGTAACCAAAACTCTCCCAAAAAACAGAAGCCCAGGGTCAGATAAGTTCACAAGCAATTTCTACCAAATTTTCAAAGATTAACTAATACCGATCCTCTTCAAACTCTTTCAAAAACTTAGAGAGAAGGCATACAGCCAAATACATTTTATGAGGCCAACACCATTCTAGTATCAAACCCAAACAAAAACCACAAAAAAGAAAACTGCAGACCAAACTCTCTAATAAATCCTCAATAAAATCTTAGCAAATTGAACCCAACAATTCAGTAAAAGGATTAAACACCTCAATTTGGTGAGATGGAAAATCTGAAAATCAATCACCACATCAGCAAAATAAAGATAAAAGCCATATGATCATTTCAAAAGATACCAAGAAAGATGTTGAATTAGCAAAATTCAACATCTACTTAAGATAAAACCACTCAAAAAACCTTGGGAGAAATGGAACATATCTTAACATAATAAAGATCATGTACATATATGACAAACTCATAGTTAGCATCATTCTTAGTGGTGAAAAACTGAGAACCTTTCCACTAAGATCTGCTACACTCTCACCACTAGTATTCAACTTATGTTAGAAGTGATAGCTAGAGCAATTAGGCAAGAATTCAAATTGAGAAAGAAGTAACATTATCATTTGCAGGTGAGTTAACATACACAGAGGACCTTATAGTTCCAAGGAAAAACTAATTAAAACAACAATTCAGATTACAAGTGCTGGTGAGGGTGTGGAGAGAAAGGAGCCCTCTTACACTATTGCTGGGAATGTAGACTGGCACGATCCCTATTGAAAGCTGTGTGGAGGTTTCTCAAAAGATTAAAGATGGATCTACCATATGACCCAGTAATTTCACTCAGGTAGCTACCAAATAACAGAAAGATACATAATCAAAAGGAATCTTCACTCCTATGTTTAAGATACGAAACAACTCAAAAACAGTTGAGTCGATCAAGACGATGGGTTACACACACACGCACAATGGAATACCACTCGGTGATCAAAAAAGACAAACTCACACCATTTGCCACAACATGGGTGAAGCTGGAAAAGGCTATACTAAGCGATACACCAGAAGGAGAAAGATAAATACTGGATGGTGTAGTTTATATAGCGAATGTAGAAAAATCAGGTCGTCAAAGACAAACTTAATTTTTTTTCTTTTTTAGTTATATGTTTTTACATCATTGTTCAATTTTCTACAATGTTTGATTTCTCCTCTCAGGTGTTGTCCCCATAAAATTATCACCACCAAGACACCTGAGAACCATTACCACTGTCTCTTGTGCTCTTCCCTCTCCCTTCCCTGCTGAAAGTCTCCGATTTACAGTTTGACTGCTAGTCTCAAAGACAAACTTTAAAACCAACCCTTGGAAGCTCCCCATAGACAGTCTTCTAGCTAAGCTCACCAGGGCTTTCAGAGGAGCAGGGGTTGAAGGAGAAATGGGGGGAAGTGGTGGTGGTGGAGAGAGCACCACTGACTATAATGGAGAACGGTGGGTGCTCTGGTGGGAGGTGGGCTACATTGCAGGGGAAGTTTCCCAGGTCTGCTGAGGTTCTGCTCCTTTCCCAGGCCTGCTGCTTGGGGGAGTCTGTTGCTTGGATTCTGCTGCTTGCTGGAGCAGAAAGTTCCCTCATTGTGCTACTGACCCACTGCAGTAGCTATGGCTACCTTGCCCCTCTTTCCAAACAATTAAGAATGCTTATGCTGTGATGGATGGGATGACAAGCCTCCTCATACAACCTGTATAAAACTTCGCCACTCCTGTAATTCGGGGCTCAGCCTTTTGAGACTGGTCACACTGAGCCCACCCATGTGACAAGTAAATCTCTCTCTCCACCTCTCTGAGTGCCATCTGATTTCTCTGGGAAACTACCATAAAATACAGTGGTTACACGTGAGGGGGGATCCTGTACTGTCAAAACACTGGCAAGGAGGGAAAATAATGCTAATTTAATAGCAATTTTAAAAATAAAATTAAAAGATGTGGTGTGGCTTTACACTCTGACTTCATACTTTCACAAACTTGATCACCAAAAAAGGAAAAAAAAATGTGTTGTACTGTGAATAACTGAATGACTAGGAAGATGGACGTTTAGGTACAATTCACAAAAGAAAATTAGTTCTTTGCACAGCCTGCCATTAATCTACACGCATTTTTAAATATATGTGGATATTTTGTTACTTTAATTTTATTATTAATTGTTCATCTTTCAGTATGTGCTTTGAATGTCTCCCTACTCAGAGATGCCTTATAGCCAATTAGTTATGAGGTAGCAATGTTACCATGTCCTTTCTAAATGTTCCTCTTCCATTTTTCATTCTTTTCTCAATTGCTGCAAAAGCAAACCAGCTCTCTATTCGTGGAATTCCTATGAATCTACCCACACGAACAAAGTCGCATTTTATTATGTCCTTTTCAGTGTCTCTCTTTCCATGTTCATTCTTTATTCTTGGTGGCAGAATTGTCTTAAGGTCAATTAATCATGTAGCAAAGTTGCTCCCCTGAGTTGCTGAGAGTGAGCTAACCTCACAGTCTTGTAAAGAGTCCTGGGAGCCTCTGTTGCCTACTCAGAAGCTGCATAAGCCAGCTGCCCCCTCTTCAGGCCCCCCACCCAGTGTGAGCCTGACCTACCCGTGTGTGGTAGCATTGATGGAAGGTGTGCTGAAAGTCCTCTCTGGAGAAGTCACCAGACCTGTGCAGGAAACAGTGAAGATAATAAGAAACAGAAAGAAAAAAAAAAAGAATAGAATTGTCTGCCAAAATCATGGGAGGAAGGGAGAAGGGACAGAATCATCTCCATCGGCTCTCTCAGGTGGGGGTAGTTAGAGCCTATGATCTGTATGACCATCTGCAGCTCAGCTAGCACTAAACCTAGAGGAGAACAGTTTCTCCCTGAGCTGGGAAGTGAGGGCATGTTGGGACATATAGGTCTAGGTTCTTTTGAGACAGGTTTGCCTCTTGGGAAGCTGATCCTGTTCAGGTTACACACCTATTTCCAAGCAAGCCCAGACTCAAACTCCTCCACAGCCCAGGCCACAGGCATTCAGCCCCCAGAGGCAGGCTTCCTTGAATCTGAGGTTACCAAACTGTCAGGCCACCCCCTTTCTTCTCCTCATCGCAACCCCAGACTTACCAGTAGTTGGTAGGAACCAAGTAGAGGTCCACATGGGAGACGTGGTGGTGGCTAAAGAGAAAAGAATGAGGCGGCTATTCAGAGGCCAGAGGAAAGAAAGAGCTCTGGCCCAAGGCTGTGAGAGGGAATAGGGACCCTGAGACAGTCCTTCTGGGTCCCTCGGGCAGAGGGAGAACTGTGCTTCAGTTCTGCATCCTGGAGATTTGGGGGTCACAGAGAGACTCTGGACCTCATAGTTAGCCCTGGGAACCTACCCCACAAAGAGGGGCCAGGGCTGGCAGAGTGAAGCGGAGTTGACAGCCCTTCTCTGGGACATTGGCCCTTACTCTCCTCAGAGCAAAACCTGGTGGGGTCTGGTGCAATGGGGACCAGAAAATGACTGTGTGACATTCCCCCCAGAGTCTGGGAAGAAGGGAGATATTTCCTTAAGAAAGAAGCTCACCTGGAGATACCACCAGGTTGATTTTTCTGAAAATAGCGATTTGTTTTGAAGAAGCATTATAGCTTCCACACCAGTAGATCCCCGAGTCGTCTTCCTTCAGCTGAATTGTAAGTATGATGCAGAGGCCGATGTCCGGTGCGTCCCAGATCACATGTCGCGAGTCCTGAGCGGAGGTCCGGGGCTTAGAGCTGGTCACCATTCGATTACACCAACCGGGTGATGTTTGCAGACACCAGGACTTAGGTATGTAGGGCCCTTGGGTGGGAGGGTATGTGCACTGCACAGAAAGTACCTTTCCGACCTCGCCATAAAGCAATTCAGGCTCAGCTTTTCCCCAAGAACCTGGGTAAAAATTCATCAGGTCAGGGGCTCTCCCTGGTGGTGCAAAAGGTTAGGATGCAGCACTGCAAGCCAGCAGCAGCTGCTTCGAGTGAGTTCTACCCGCCGCCCAGAGGTGACCACATGGTGCGGCAGGCCTCTCCCGACCCTCCTGCTGCTCCCCTCAGCAGTGTACTCCATCCATCTGCCTGTTCTGCTCCCCACTCTGTCTCTGGTGAATCCTCTCACCACCTCTGGCCTGTACCCCAGTTCTGTAGGCATAAATAAATAAATCTTTATAAAAAAAAGTCATCAGATCAGAGCCTGGCTGGACCCAGTCACCCACTCCTAGGACTGGGGAGAAGAGGCAGAGAACAACTTCTGATGCTCCCACAAGGACCATGGCTCCCCAAAGCCAGTCCCCCAGTCACAGAACACCCCCTACTCCCTGAGTCACCTTTGCACCTCTTCATCTCACCTGAGGCCAGGAGCACCAGTAAGACAGGGGGCAAGAACAGGTGTGGGGTTCCCCAAGCCATGCTACCCACAATCTGCTTCTGATAATGAAGAAGAGAAAAGAGGTAGCCTCTGAGGAGTGGAAACCAGAAGCTGGACTTGATCCTGTGCACGCTCCCCAGCTTCTGAGCTGAAGAACTGAGGAAGGGACTGGGGAAGTGGCTGACATGTGAAGCGGGCTCTGTGGGGGAGGGGCAGCAGGACTGGATTCCTTGGTGAGGGGGCAGCTGATAGAAGGGGCTCCATCCTCTCTGTATCCTCAGTTCTCTCTAATGATGCTCAATCGGTGATTAGAGGAGCACAAAAGTGATAGAAAGAGGAAACTCCTTTCATTCTAACAATGTGTGTGTAAAAAAGACAGGGAAAAAGTACTCCTAGCTGGACAACTTAAGCAATGAAATTATGAGGCCTGGGGTTATAATCCAATGTATCAAATAAAAGATTCACAAATCCATACGGACATTAAAAAGATAGATTGAATAAATAGTGGAGGAGACTAGAAAAGTCTCCAGTTAAGATGAAGTCCAAATAATTTATGTATTTATTATGTCTGTAAGGAGGGGGGAAAAGAACTTCCTCCACCACATCTTCTTGCTCCACTCATCTGCTTTGAGTAGTTTTCATGATTCAGCTCTAATAAATTGTGCTGAATAAGCACGGGGGCGCAAGTTTCCTTTTGAATTAGTGTTTTTGAATTTTAGCGGTAGGTGCCTAGGAGTGGGACTACTGGCTCATATGGCTGATCCACTTTGAATGTCTTGAGATACCGCCATACCATTTTCTATGAAGTCTGTACTCCCCTCAGCAGTATAGGGGGTCCCCTTTCCCCCACTTTCTCACCAGCCCTTGTTTCTGGCATTTCATTATGGACCATTCTTACTGATATCTCAGTGTGTTCTTGATTTGCATTTCTCTAGTGATAAGTGCCTGTTTACAGTCTGTATGTCTTTGGAGAAGTGTCTGTTTAGTTCTTCTGCCCACTTTTTGATTGAGTTATTTGTTTTGTTTTTGTATCGTTGTTTGAGTTCTTTGTAGCTCTTCAATATCACTCCTTTGTCAGATATACAGTCTACAAATATTTGCTCCCCTTCAGTAGGGTGTCTTTTCATTTTAGTTATGGTTTCTGTTGCTGCGCGGAAGCTTTTTAGTTTAATTAGTCTCAAAACACTAATTCAAAAGGAGACTTGCACACCTATGTATATTGCAGTACAATTTACTGTAGCTATGTTTACTGCAGTACAATTTACTGTAGAAACAACCTAAGTATCCAAAAACAGATGTGTGGATCAAGTAGATGTGATATATATATATAATGATAAAAAAATAAACTCATGCATTTGTGGCAACAGGATGGAACTCAAAGGGATAACACTAAATAAAAGTCGGAAGGGAAGAGATAAATACTGGATGGTGTCTCTAATGTGTGGAATATAGAGTGACTAAATCAGATGAAGATAAGCTTAAAAATTAACTGGTGAAAGCTGACTATAGAGCTGAAGTATCCAAAGAGGTGAAGAACAAAAAGTCAAGAAAACAAAATGGACGATGGTGGTGGGCTGTGGGTGATTGGATAGTGGAAGATTGGGTAACGGTTGTCCTACAGTGGTAATACCTGATGGAGGATCCAAATATTACCTCAATTAATAAAAATTAATTAATTAAAGAAAAACAAAGTTAGCAAAGAAAAAGGAGAAGTTCAAAATTGTTTCAAGGCCCTCCCTGGTGGCGCAGCGGGTTAAAGCACTGCACTGAGAAGCTAAAGCC